TGTCTCTTTGTGGTTGTTTTGTATCTTTTTGTTGCCATTTTGAGTCTCTGTTGTTGTGTTGTGTCATTTTCTGGTTGTTCTGTGTCTCCTATTTTGTACTGAATAACTATCAGGTCACCAACAGCACCTGCAGGAGGTCAATATGGATTAGTTTAATTGTACAGTTTAGTATATAGCTAAAAAAAAAAAAAAAAGTAAAATATTTGTTGAATTAGAAACTGTTTTTACAACAATGCAGCTACGTGTGAGCCTGAAAATTAGATTTAATGAGCAGCAGCAACGTGTTGAATCATCAGAGTGAAACATTAACAGGACCATAGTTCAGAGCTGAAGGAAGCTTGGGTGCCGTTCCAAAAAATCAAAGATCAGTTATGAGCCTAAACACACACACACACACACACACACACCCAAACACAGGAATTTTTACAGCAGTGATGATCTGAAGGCGTAACTGCTCCTGTCAGCGTGAATGAAGGTATCTGTTGTACCTGCTGACTCAGAGACTCACCGACCAATCAGATGACAGAACAGTCAGCATCACGTCACCTGAATAAATACTGACACTGGTTTAATAAATTCCTCTGTGAAGCGTTGTCGGTTTTTAGTGTCACTTCATTTACGCAATCGTTACTTAACGGATCCATGTTTGACATGGCAGTTAAAATTTATGTTTGGATAGACAGATAGATAGATAGATAGATAGATAGATAGATAGATAGATAGATAGATAAAACTTTATTGATCCCTTTAGTAAAAACCTCAGGAAAATTGTTGAAGTCAGTCTAACATGAAAAGCACGAAGAAGACACACAAAATGACAACAAAGGTACACAAATCAACTATACACTGACACAAAACAACACAGAAAGACACAAAACAACTAGAAAATGACACAGAGGCCTTCCTCTCCCTGATCTTAACTCTTCCTGACACCTGGTGTGTTTCAGCCAATCAGGATGGAGGGGGAGGAGGATGGGGCGTGGCGAGTGCGGGAGCTGCAGGAGCAGAGGATGGCGGTCCAGAAGAAAACCTTCACCAAGTGGATGAACAGCGTGTTCTACAAGAACGGGGTGAGAACCTCAGTGAGAGCTTTAACGTCCATCGTGCTGTCAGGTGCGACTGCTGCTCTGTCAGCTGAGAGCTCCGGAAAAACCTCAGAGTATAGTAAAGAGTATGTTGTTATTCATAATGGGTCCATCTGCTCAGATAACATTCAGGTCTGATAGGGACTGCACAGTGGCTTGGTGGTCAGCACCGTCACCTCACAGCTAGAAGGTCGCTGGTTGGCGTCCCGGTGAGGACACCCGGGATCTTTCTGCGTGGAGTCTCCATGTTCTCCCCGTGCAGCGTGGGTTCTCTCCGGGTTCTCCGGCTTCCTCCCACAGTCCAGAAACATGCTGAGGTTAATTGGTGATTGTAAATTGTCCGTAGGTGTGAATGTGAGTGTGCTTGGTTGTCTGTCTCTAAGTGTAGCCCTGTGATAGACTGGTTACCTGTCCAGGTGAACCTGCCTTCACCCTGAGTCAGCTGGAATAGATTCCAGCCCCCCATGACCCTGTGAGGATAAAGGTGTAGAGATGATGGATGGATGGACTGAGTGAGTCTCAATTCAGCCAAATGAAGAACATTATGCATTATAATTAACAGACAGATGTTTCCTTATCTTCTGATTTCTTCTGATATAATTGGATCTATAGTCATCATATAAGTCAGCAAATGTCCGAGAATCACGTATGTTTAAGTTACAGTGATGACGCCCTCTGCTGGCCATAGGAATGGTTGGTGAGGAGGTCGGGGTGGATGGATGGGTGCACAAAACATGAAAACTTTTTATTTCATGAGTTTACTTTTGATCTTTTAATTAAGCGTTTTTCCTTCATAATGAGGATTCACTTTTCCAAATTTGACTTTTCACCTAAAATGTTTTATTTACGGCTTATTTACGTCAGGATTTGGACTTCCTGTCTTAAAATGTATTTTTTCATGTCACAGCTTTTTGTTCTCTGAAGTATATTTCTATTTCATAGTTCTGACTTTGACTCTGATATCTTAAAAATCCTAATTTTTAGCTTTTATCTCAAGAGTTTGACATTTAATTTCAAATATCTGACTGGTCATAACTTTACTTTACTGCTTTGGATTTTTGGCTTTTTATGTCATCATTTCGACTTTTCTCTCCCAAAATTTAGAATCACTGTCTCGGAAGTTTGACTTTTTATTTCAAGATATTTCAGTGTCTCATAGTTCGTACGATATATCTTGTGCTGTATCTTAACTTTGAATTATGCACTTAAAACCTGGAGTTTATTCCCTAACTCAGACTTATTGTCTTAAATTTTTATAATTTTATAATTTAAAGATATGAGTTCATATCTCAGTAATTAATCTTTATCTTAAACATTTTGACCTGAGACCTCCTAATTTGGACTATTCATGTCAAAATTTGGTTTTATCAGCTTAAACACATTTTCCAAACTGTGATAATGACGGTTTTCTAACAGGAACAAAATCCTTCTGGACGCCTGTATTTGGTCTCAGACAGTAAACACTGAGCAGTGATGCTGCAGCAGAAACTCTGCTGTGTTTCCATGCTGGTGTTCTGTGTGTTTGTTGTTCAATCAGTCACATGCAGGCAGATTCTTTTCTATTTTATTATCACTGTAACCAACATTGGTGCAGGTGAAGCAACGTTTTTCTGTTTCCATCCACTCAGTCTGCAGCGTTTCCTTCATGCAGAACTTTGAACAAAAACATTGTTTTCCAAAACATATTTAAAAGACAACAGTTTACCACACATTACTGCCTTTGAATAGATATTTCCGATCCATAAAAATTCAACATGTTTTATCGTTCATTGTGTTCAGAGTTTTGCTTTTCAAATTGTTAAACAGAGTTTCAGTTCTGGATTTAAAAAATGTAATTACATTTTTAAAAAGTTATTTGTGGTACGTGTCTGTAATTCAGTGTCATCTTCATTTTTTCAAAATTTGATGTCGTAGTTATGAGTATTTATCTCACAATTTTGATTTTTTTAAAAAAAAATCTCAAATACATCATTTTTACATAAAGGTTTTACTTTAGTATTGTATGATTTTGACTTTTGTTAAACTTTAGACTCATGATCTCAAAATCTGAACTGTTTGTGTCATTATTTTGACAATTTATTTGATAGTTTAGACTTTAAAATCTAAAATACTTACTTTTTTCTATTCATTTTTATTTTTATTTGTAGTTTTTTTTGGCATGATTTTGATTTATAATCTCAAAGTTTGGCCATACTATATAACATTTAAACCACTCATGTCATAATTTTGACTATTTATCTCCAAAATTTAACTTTTTAATCATAGAATTTCACATTTTACCTCAAGATTTCAAAAATATTTTGCATAATTTTGACTTAAGATCTCAAAGTTTGGACTTACTATCTCAAAATGTGAACTTTGTAATCCAAACTTTTTAGTTTATTTCAAGATTTAAACTTTGTCTCAAACTTTCAGTTTTCAGATACAGATAATAAAATATAATTTACAATTAACAACAGTTAATGCTGGACACAGTGGCAGCACAATATAAATACATGTTATTGTTGTAAAGTCTATAATGACAGTCATGAACAGTAAAGCTCATATTCTGCTGTTCAGTCTGTAATCAGTCATCCTGTGGTTATCTGTTTATGTAGACTAGCTGCTGGTGTTTTACTGTCATTTCAGAGGAACCTTTGTGTGAGTTTCAGTTTGTTGTTTGACTGTTTAGCGACAGTTTGATCTTCTGGTTGAGTCCCCTCATGTTGTTTTCAGACTTAAAGCTTTAAAAATCCTCCGTGTTCGTCCTGCAGACAGTCGGAGTCAGAAAGCAGCCGCTATAAACTCAGACTCTCTCCTCGGTCTCAGAAACCTCTGACATGGTTCTGTTCTGTTTTTGTGTCGTGATGTCAGTGTTACTGCTCCTGTTATCAGCCACATTCCTGCCTGATAAGCAGCTAATAATGAACTCTATCAGCTGCTAACACATTAAACTCTCATTAATCTCCTGATAAACGACCTCCACCTCCTCCGGCTCTCGTCGTCCCGGCCGCTCTGCAGCTCTGCCATGATTTCATGTGTTTTCTCTGATAACTGATGCCAGCTGTTGGCTGAACACCGAGTCCTGCTGCTGATCATTCCCAGAATTCTTCAGGGATTCTGCAGGATGGCAGCAGTGGAGCTGCGTTCAACCAACTGTTGCACTGTTTCAGGAGCATTTATTTATTTCATTTGCTTCATTTTTTCTGTGTGTGTCAAGTGATCAGAACATTGACAAGGAAAGGCTGCGTTCCTCCATCACAGAAGAACTGTAGAGTCCATGTTTATTATTAACACATCTGACAATTATTTTATTTAATAACTGACGTTCAGAAAATTTTGAAATGTACTAAATTACACATTTTGGTAATTTTAAGTGTCTTAGTGGTATTTCTGTTTGCCATTGAAGTCATTGTGTAGTCATGTTGCAACTGTTTGTGGTCATTTGGCATGTTGTGGTCGTGCTGTGTCTCTCTTTAGTCAGATTGTGTGCTTTGTGAGGATTTTGTGTCATTTTATGATCATTTTATATCTTTATGTGGTGATTTTGAATAATATTACATCTTTCTGGTCTTTTTGCATCCGTTTCTAGTCATTTTGTTTGTCTTTGTGATCATCTTCCATCTCTTTATGTTGTTATTTTACAGTAATTTGCATGTTTGAGGTTATTTTGCATCTCTGTGTGGTCATTTTGTCTCTTTTGTGTCAGGCTGTGTAGTCTTTTTGTGGTAATTTTTCTGGTTTTGTGTCTTTGAGGTCATTTTGCACCTGTTTCTAGTCATTCCTACTGTCTTTGTGGTTAACTTGTGTGCCTTTGTGGTCATTTTGCACCTCAGTGTGGTTATTTTAATGTAATTTCAGTCTCACTGTGGTCATTTTGTGGTCAGTGTATATATTTTAGTTGGTTTTGCACCTCTCTGTGGTCACTTTGTGCTCATTTTATGTCTTTGTGTTGATCCTGCGTATCACTGTAAGCTGTGGCATTTAGATTTCATTTTCATTTGAACTATAAACGTCTGAATGTGTTCACAGTTCTGGAGCTACAGTGATTAACACATTAGACTGTCGTGTTGTTGTAATTCGCCGTCCGGCCGCTGGTGGCAGCACTGAGCTGAGGCTGAGCCGCCATCTTGAATTAAGATGGCGCCAGCCGGAGTTAATGACGTTCCGTCACCGTGAACTCACCTGACCGCAGGTTCACCCGCCGAGAAAGTTACTTGAAGTGTTGCTTTTTCTCCGGTGAGTCTGATTTTTTATCGTCTTCACAGAAGCAACGTTTAGTAAAGTTAGAGTTACTGAAACTTTCGTGTTTCATCTTGAACCGGATACAGACGGAAACAGTTAATGTGGAGATTTTTATTAAACCGAACGGGATTCATAGAAACTGGGTTTTTAAATGTTGTCCGGCGACAGGTCCCGTCTTTAAAGAAACATCCCCTGAAGCACGGACGTGTCTTTAAAGACAAGTCCCGTCTTTAAAGACACGTCCGTGTTTCAGGGGATGTTTCTTTCACCTGTAAATGTCTGTCTGAGGAGAAATCAGCCCTTTAATCCAGCGTTTCCACGAACCGTTAGCTCAAAAGTTTGGCTATCATCACGGCTAAGCTAACAGCAGAGCTAATCATTCAACGGTTGTAGCGCTCTGCTAGCATGCTAAGCTAATGTGAGCTAACCGCCAAAAACATCTGCGGTTGCTTCCGTGTGTATACTCACATAATTATTTATGTTAAAAATATAAATTACTAAAACAACAGTAGCTTATTTAGCTTTTTGTCACGTCACTGTTAATTATAAAGCACTGAAAACAACAGAACCAAAGCGTTTTCCAACAGAAAAAGAAGAATAGTGTTAAATATTTACCTGACAAGGTTAAATATGAAGGTTTTAGAGTTTACAGTGATGTGTGAACACACCAGACAAGTTGAAATAAATGTTATAAAATAGAACACATGGTGATGTTATGAAATATGTTTGTGGATGATAAAATCATGTTCATCAGGTTTTCCAATAGTTAAAGTGACCTCTACAGTATTCTAGCTGGAACATTTAACATCATCTGTACTCGGTTTTTTTTTGTTTGTTTTTTTTTTAAAAAAAAGCAAAACAGCCTTAAAAGGTTTTTGTAGCCTCTCAGAAGGGTGTAGTCTTGTTCAGTTTTACAGGGAACTGGACGTTTATCTTCATTTCTGATGTTTTATGTGCCAAACTGTGAGTATAAAATGAACATTAATAGTAATAACTTTTATTATATTCAGGGTTAAACATGTTTTTCTGTTCTGTGTGATCCTTTTTTATTTTTTTATTTGGTGAACACCGTGCTATCTCTGAGGTTACAGGGATTCAGACTGTACTTAGTCATGGCTGTTGACCTGAGCCTGCCTCCTCCTTTATGACTTCACAGTGACCCGATAAAGAGACGCGTTCTGATCCCACAGCTCAGAGTTCGTCACTCTGGTGGCACAAACCCAGAATTCACCATCTAATCAGGTTTAGCGTTTCCACGAAACTTCACCGAAATCCAGTAAAGGTTTACCGCAGAGACAAAATAACGGAATAGAAACAAAACCTGTCTGCAGATAAAACGGACATGTGACTGATGTGCTGTTATTGTTCTGTTAAAGCTCCTGTCAAGGCCACAGGAAGGTAACACAGTCATTACAGTAAGATCTGGAAGCCTTAACTTCCCTTTCTGAGGATTATATCAATTATATTTTCATTATTTTAAACATTTTACCCATTATTGTTATTTTTATGAATAACCTTATTAGTAACCAATGTTGTTTCATTAGAAAATCATTACAACAAATATTCTAGCAAAATATTCAATTAAAATATATGTTCTCATTATTACATTTTTTAAGTCTTGTTGATTTTTTTTTTCTTTTCTTCATTTTTGTCTGTTATGGAGTTTATTTTATTTTATAGTCTGATTTTGGAGCCATTAGATACACAAACATAATTAGTTTACTGACAAAAAAAAAATCCCTGATATGATAATAACTAATGAAATATGGAAAATATTTTCAGGAGAGAGGCTGCAGTCAGATGTCAGGCACAAGGTTTTTTTGATTAATTTTTATCACACTTGACTGTAGAGAACAACGATTAATTGATTAGTTGTCAACTAGTAAATTCATTCTTAAATATTTTGATAACTGATTTATCTGGTAACGATTTGGGTGATTTATGTGTTTATTTTTTTAAATTCTGTAATTTGCAGCTTCCTCAATGTGAATGTTCTGTTATTTTCCTCCTCTGTGACAGAACCGAGCAGCAAAACTAGACATTTGAGAAAACTCTGGTCCACATTTATCACCACTTTTTGACATTTTAGAGATGAAATAGTTCAGTAGTTAAGATTAATCAACACAGAAGATAATTGTTTTTTGCAGCCCTTCACTGCAGAACCACTCTACTAGGAGTAAAGGTTCTGGCTGAGGTACAATATGTGATAGAAGTAAGTGAAATACACTCAAAGTGTATGTTAGACTATCACATAATATGTCATGAGATTATCATTTTGCTGCTGCGGCTGGTTGAGGTGGAGCTCATCATCTAGTAGTTTCTAACTGTCCAGAGGATTTATTCTTTTCTGACTTTTTTTAATGGACCAAGAAACTAATTGATGGTTCTCAAAAATAATTATACAGTAAAAAACATAATCATTAGTTGCAGCTTCAGCTGACGAACTGATTATTGGACTTATTTTGATAGTTTTAGGATTTGCTGTTTTTCTCAGTTTGGACTGTCGAAGGGACAGAAGCTTTTTAAAGTTCTGTGGAGGTGTGTCTGATTGGACTCCTGAGTTAATCTGCAACCTCTCTGGTCATAGGAGTCCAGGCGCCCAGAGGTCTCACACAGAGGAAATGTGAATTGTTTGGAATGTGCTTTTGGAACAAACACTCAGGTGAACTAAAGTGAGGAATTCCTCCTCTTACCTTTAAGATGCTGAACCGGGCCTCTGACCTCCAGATAGCCGGGGCGTTATGTAACAGCTGCAGGGGGAAACAGCTCCTCACTGGCTGGATGATGAAGGGACACTTTGCTCTGAACCTCCAGCCGAGGTGCTGGCATGAGATTATTTATAGTTGGCTTTTCCAGTTGTTGTTCTGTATGAGTGGGTGTTTTCTGTGTTATTAATATCCTGCTTCCACTTTTAGAAAACACTTTTAATCAAGTGCACAAAAAGAGTTATTTGTAGCTGAAGATTGACCCTCTGAGCTCCAAGCAGCAGGTTCTGGGCTGCTTCTTCTTCTTTTTTTTTTTGCTCGTCTCATGTTTCTTCACTGAGGTTCATGTTTCAACATAAAGTCCGGCAGCTCTCTGGAACCAGAACAACATGAAGGAGGAGGAGAGAGAACTCAGAGATGTCTTCTGTCAGCAGGACTCGATTAGAACAAAAAAAAAAAAGACAAATAAAAGTTGAACTTCTTTGATTATTTCTTTTACAAAAATGTAAAAACACCGGAGTCAACATGGCCAACATTTTTCCAAGTGTCCAAAAATAGAGGCTATTTAACTGTTTCCATTTTTATGTCCACAAGCTGGGCTGCTAGGTGGTTCGGTGGTTAGCACCGTCACCTCACACCGGTTGGCGTCCTGGTGAGGACACCCGGGATCTTTCTGCGTGGAGTCGCCATGTTCTCCCCGTGCAGCGTGGGTTCTCTCCGGGTTCTCCGGCTTCCTCCCACAGTCCAGAAACATGCTGAGGTTAATTGGTGATTGTAAATTGTCCGTAGGTGTGAATGTGAGTGTGCTTGGTTGTCTGTCTCTAAGTGTAGCCCTGTGATAGACTGGTGACCTGTCCAGGTGAACCTGCCTTCACCCTGAGTCAGCTGGGATAGACTCCAGCCCCCCATGACCCCAGTGAGGATTAAGGTGTAGAGATGATGGATGTCCACAAGCTCAGCGAGACACTTTTGTTGCCTGTTTATTGTTTTGTGTCTCGTCTTGGAGACAGTTTTGTCTCTTTGTGGTCATTTTGTGTGTCTTGTTTTGTTGTGTGTTCTGTCCCACTGGTGTCATTTTGTGTCTCATTGGGACACTTCTATATCCTGTCTGGTGTTTCGATTTGTGTCTCATTTTTCTTATTTTGCTTTGTGTTTATGTAGTTTGTGTCTCATTGGGGTAATTTTGTGTCTTGGTTTTGTCGTTTTGTGTCTCGTTTGTGTTGCTTCATGTTATTATTTCTCACCATTTGTTCAACAAAAATGTCTGTTCTGCAGAGTAAATGAAACTGATGGTTTTTCTTTTTGTTCTCCGTTCTCTGCAGGAGAAAGTGACGCTGACCGACGTCTACACGGAGCTGAAGACCGGAGTCGTTCTGATCCGGCTGCTGGAGCTCATCTCCAGAGAGACGCTGCCGCCGCCCAGCCGCCGCAAACTCAGAGTCCACTGTCTGGAGAACAACAGCATTGCCATCAGCTTCCTCAAAACCAAGGTAACTCACCTGTCCAGCTCAGAAAACCAGAGCCTTTCTCACCAAGTTGGCTCTTTTCTGTCAAACCTGGCAATCAAGGTCCTGCTCAGCTATTAGTGTCCTCAAAACCAAAGTAACTCACCTGCCCATGAAGCACGCTGAGCCTCCAGGTAAAGTGGAAATGATCGCCGCTGTTTTGGAAAAACAGAACTAGTAACTCTGAGCCACCTGACTAACTAGCTACATATCAATTTCCATCAGTCAGGATCCATCTGTCCATCAACATCCATCCCTTTTATAGCATCAAAAAACTAAAACAACAGGAAAACTTGGACAATCAGCAGCATCATAACAGAAAACAGATTTGGAATTTTTATCTTGACTCATGTCCCATCTGCAAACATGGAGGGGCAGGACTGGTAACCAGCCAGCACGAGGCGAAGGAGATGTTCTTGCTTCATTTCCTTTAACGTTGTCCATCTTCAGTACGATCTGTGGTAAACAGAAAAATCTGCAAATCATGTTCTTCAGTAGTGTTTTCACTTCACTCTTAGCTTATATTAGAAGCAGCAGATTGAGGACTTTATCTGTTTGATCTGCAGCATCATGAACAGTTTCTCTTCCTGTCTGCTCAGATTCGGGTGGATCTGATTGGTCCAGAGAACGTGGTGGATGGAGACCGGACGCTGATCCTGGGTCTGCTGTGGATCATCATCCTCAGGTTCCAGATCGGACCCATTAACCTGGACGAGGTGGAGAGCTGAAACCAGAGCTTTTAATCTGGACGGATGAATAATGGCGTTGATAATGAGACGACTTCTTTCCTGTCTGTCTTTCCGTCCATTTCTTTCTTAACCTTAGGCTGGAGGTGGAGGCAGCGTTGCTCATCGCTCGGCGAAGGAGGCTCTGCTGATCTGGTGTCAGAGGAAAACTGCAGGCTACAGAGGCGTCGATGTTCAGGACTTTTCCTCCAGCTGGAGGGACGGACTCGCCTTCAACGCCTTGATCCACGCCCACCGGTAAGGCAGCACGTTAAATGTCATGACCTCACCTCGGTGTACCGAGGTTTCTGTCCTCATTCTGTTGGCTCCACGTCGTTCTTTATCTCCATCCCAGTCCTGACCTCTTCGACTACCGCCGTCTCCATGGCGATGACCCCCGCCGCAACCTGGGCCACGCCTTCACGCTGGCGGAGCGAGAGTTCGGCATCATGCAGCTGCTGGACGTGGACGACATGGTGGTGGCTCACCCCGACGAGAAGTCCGTCATGACCTACGTGTCGCTGTACTACCACTACTTCTCCAAGATGAAGCAGGGCCAGACCATCCAGAAGAGGCTTGCCAAGGTCTGACACCGGGGGGCGCACTGCACCCTGTCACATGTTAACAATACAGATACAGGGTCTGAACTGACACCAGGGGGCGCACTGCGCCCTGCAAAGTTTTACCTCAATGCTATTGATATTTTCAGAGCAACAGGCCTGAACAGTTCAAATTTTACGTTTTTTCTGATTCATCGATTTATTGTTTGATCTCTCAAATACCAATAAGACAATAAGATGACAAAGTTTTTGTTCAAAGATGTTCAGTTTACTGTCAGAGGAGGAAAGAAACTACAAAATATTCACATTTAAGAAACTACAATCACAGGATTTCCATCGTTTTATCAAGAAAATAGTCAAACTGATTAATCAGAATAGTTGGTGATTAATTTACCAGTTGACCACTAATCTGTTAAGTAATGAAGCTCCACCAGAAACAAGTCTATATATTTACAGAACTGTAAAATAATGCCCTGAATAGTTTTTATTTATGTTAATGTGCAGCAGCAGATCATTTATCCAATTCATTAGGCTCCTTATAGTCGACTAGTAACTTATTAAGGCAGAGAACCTGGTTAGTTATAATACAACTGAACCTGTTTTACTTCATAGCTGATCTAAAGGCCTTGGTAACTTTTATTTCTGTCGGCTTTTTTATGACAGAAACAAGTTGACAACGTGGACTGTTGTGCCCTCTGCAGGCTGCTGCTGGTACTGCAGCAGCACTGAGCTCTAATCCAGCAGCTTCCTGCAGGCTGCTGTCTGCGTGGATTACTGCTGGATTAGACTCAGGACTGCAGGCAGAGCTGCAACACACAGAGCTGGTAGACCTCAGCGCTTCTAGTTTCTCCTCACTGTGGGCTATAAGCAGCTTTTTCTGGTCATTTTGCTTCACTGTGGGTTCATTTTTCACTCCAGAAAAAAGTCCTGCTGCTCTGTGGAAGCAGAACAACGTGAAGATAGAAAGAGAACTGAGAAATGCAGCACAGCACAGTCAGAATAACACAAATCATAAATTATGAAAAAGTTACAGTTCTTTATTTTAAAAAAACAAAAAGAAATAACCTCAAAATGTCCAACATGTAAAATATACTCGTGAGATTAAACAATCCTGAAAATAATTATTAGCTGCAGCCTGAATGTGTTTCAATTAAATAATTAAACATTTTGTCCTTAAAATGCAAGAAAATTATAAAATATCGCTCATAAAATCTTCCACTAACTCCAACGCCTTCAGATGCATTTTAAGGTCGAGAGATGCAGCGATTAATCGCTCAGCTGTCGACTGTTTTATTCATCACCCACGATTTTATATTTAATTGGTCTGAGTAATTTTTAAAGAATTCTTTGATTGCAGCTGTTCAAAGCTAAAAGAACTAATTGATTAACCTAGAAAATAATCAACAGGATAAGACTAAATGGACCGACTATGGACATTTTGTGTGTTTCTTAATGTGGGAGCGTCTTATTTTTCTTATGTTCAGGACATGCATGACGCATCTCAGTTATCAGGAGCAGCTGAAGTCGTGAGGATGAAGCAGCCGGTTGTTGCCTTTTCTATCTGGTGCAGCTCGCTGTGGGCGGAGCTACAGATGCTAAGCTAATCAGATCAGAGCGCACACACGCTGTGGAGGAAGCATTCATTCAACACTGAAACTGCTCACCTGTACCTGCCGGCTGCTTCTTCACACGGTTCATAGAAACTGAAGACGAGACAGGATTTAAGGGCAGTTGATTGTGTGTTTGTTGTTGTTGTGTTTGTTGTCAGAGCTGCAGGAGTGAAAGTGGTCGTTCACGGGTAGTAAAAGTGACTCTTCAGCTTCAGGTTCTTATCCTCACGTTTGTTAGCTTCTGGCTGCGGTTGTGAAGCTTCCTGCGTCTCTCACTTCTAGACAAATGTCTTCAGGTTTTGTAAGTCGAAGTAAAGATGTTTGTTGGTAGTAAAAATGCAAACAACCGGCTAAAAGAAGTGGATACGTTGTTTTAGTTCTTATCAATGGAAGAAGTGTTTGTACGTTAAAGTGTCACAGTGTCCAAATGCTCAGTGTTTACATCAAACTCTACTTAAACTAAACTCGATCAGGGCCATTGATCTTCTGATTCGTTGATCTGCCTGATGTTGGTCTGTGATGGTTACAGTTCTGTCTGTCGAGCAGGAGAACCAGGTATGTCCAGTGGTTTACCTGGGGTCACGTGATCATGGTTGTGTGGATCAGGTGTCAACAGTGACCGTCCAGGTGTAAACTGGAGCACCAGGTGGGATTTTAGTGGCATCTGAAGGCATCTGCAGCAGTTCCAGGTGTGTCCAGGTGTTCTTCATCCAACACCGATACCTGTAGTTGTAGCTCCAGGTGTGTTTTTACTGTGACTAATGTGTGTGGGAGCACCTGGAGCGCTTTAAACTGTTAGATACTTTTAAAACAGAGTAAACAGGTGTGTCTGAGGTTTGTCAGGTGGATTAAAGGTGTCTGATGTCAGTAAAGGTTTCAACTAGACGTCCAGGTGTGTGATGAGCTGCAGGTGTGTCAGTACGGTACCAGGATGTCATTAGGAGGGAGTCTCAGCGGACTCTGGGGGAGGAGGGAGTACAGGAGGGAGTCCAACACATTCTGCCTCAAGGTTTGTTGTTTCTGCATCTTCAGTTCAGCTCCTCATTTTTTTCGTTATGGTCACGAAATCTAAAGCGTTTAATTTTTAGATCTTCTGAGCTTTTCGAGGCTGCAGCTCTCCCCGTCTTTATGTACAGCTATCAGTTTTATGGAAGGTCTGCGTTGGTGCAAGAAATTATCAGCCAGTAATCAACTATTAAATTAACCTGCAACTGCTTTGATAATCGATCATTTTGAATTAGAATTATCTGGCTGCAGCTTCTTAAATATGAGTGTTTTCTGTTTCTTTTCGTTTTCTACGACAGAACAACTGAACAACTGACAAAACATTTGTCGATATTTTTTCCCATTCTCTGACATCTTAGATACCAAACAAGTAACCAGTTAATGCAGAAAACAGAAGGTTGACGACGTATTTTTTTGATGTATTTATGGTCCAAAGTTGTGGTTGGAATGTTGAAGACTTCAATTCCAGAATCAAGCTTTAGCACAATACAACACATTCAAAATGAACTGAATCTCTTTTTAAATTTCATCACAAACTTACTCTGATCTGATTGTAAAGGAACTCATAACGTCAGTAGGATGAGTCTGAATCTGTCGCTGAGAGAGGGTGTGAACTTTAAATAAATCCCCCTGTTTTTGTTTATAAAATGAAACTATTATTCTCTCTGATGGAGGAATCTGTCTCAGTAGATGATAACTGAATATCTTGATGAGTTGATATCATTTGTTTCTGTAGCTACGCTGGTGACGCACATCTTTATCTCGTGTCCACATTGATTTATAAACTCATTTTATGTTGTACAGTCGAGATATATATATATATATATATATAAAAGGAAACCAAAAATTGTCTTGTAACTAAAAAAAATAAAACTTAGTCTCCAATAGTTAGTAATGCAGGAATTCCTGTATTTTCATTCAATTCAATTCAATTTTGTTTGTATAGCGCAGTTTACAACATACGTCATCACATAGCGCTAAACATGGTATGGTACAGACCATACAAACGTTTACACATGTTGTCCACAGATTGTTGGTTTGCTGATGGAGCTGGACGGCATGAAGGTCCAGTATGAGAAGATGGTGTCGGATCTGCTTCACTGGATCAAAACCAAGGTCAGAAATCAGTTTTATACACCTGGAGTGAAAACAGATCAAAACATCAACAGTTGTGTCTGTTTGTACGTTAAATTCTGCATTTTTATGATCATTTTCTGGCCTGTTGACTGAAGGTGGTGCAGCTGAATGACAGAAGATTCCCCAACTCTCTGAGGGAGATGCAAACGCTGGTGACGGCGTTTAAGACCTACAGAACTGTGGAGAAACCTCCCAAATACCAGGTCAGATGACATTCACAGGACTCATCTGGTCAGCTGTAGTCTGGACTCGCTGCTCAGCCTTCTGGTTAAATGCTGTGTTTCAGGAACGTGGAGCGATCGAAGCTCACCTGTTCAGCCTGAAGACTCAGCTGGCAGCCAACAACCAGAGGGCCTACAATCCTCCAGAAGGTGAGCATGTCTGATCCGTTAGCGGTGGAAGATGAACACATGAGAAAACTGATGGTGCCTGTGCAGGGAGGAGCAGTGGACATTAAATACTGGTAATACTGCGTGTTTGTGAAGGTCAAGCCCTCAGCGACATTGAGAAGAGTTGGGTTCTGCTCGAGAGAGCCGAACATGAGCGAGAACGAGCCCTGCAGGAGGCGCTGCTCCGCCTGGAGAGCCTGGAGCAGCTGGCACAAAAGTTCAACAGGAAGGTAAGCACACCTGTCCTCACTGGTTTCCAGCTATGATGTATAAATAGTATGTTTACGTGGACACGAGTGTCTGAGTTACCCGCCGTGGGCGCTGTAGACACGATAAATACTGTGTCTGGTTACTGATGTGTGCCTGAAATATTGTGAAACGTCTGTTGACCTGCGTCAGATGTTCACATGCAGCAGCAGCCTGCTTTCTCGTTCACAGGACAGCTGGAAGGTTCAGGTTTATGCAAACTGTCTTTAAGCTAGATTCTGTGATAAACACTCTCAAGCATCATGTTTTTTCAGACTCACACTTATGTCCGTGTAAACAACGTCCGTGTGTCGTGTTTTGGCTGCTTCCACATGAATCGATTATTTAAGTCATAATATATATATATATATATATATATATATATATATAAAAATAAATCAAACACATTGCGTCTGTGTCGCTCTGTGAGCCGTTGGAGGTCAGGAGACGTGGCTTTGTGCACATTAAAATCTGAACCTGCTGGTGTTGTCCTGCCAGGCGGCTCTGAGGGAGGGATACCTGGAGGACACGCTGCGTCTGATCCGGAGGCAGGATATCCGAGGTCTGTCCACGCTGGAGGAGGCCCAGGCGGCCGGCCGGCGCCTGGAAGCTCTGTCCACCGACGCTCTGGCCAGAGAGCCTCGGTTCACGGCCCTCAGAGAAATGGCCAAGTCCATCGAGAGAGGAAACTACCACAGCAAGGAGCAGGTCATCAGAAGGTCAGAGTCAGGACCAACCAACTCTGGGTTTAGACGGAGCTCCAGAAAACTCACCAGTCGTTCAGTTTGAGTGTGCATACTGCAAAACGTATTAGTTGAATAAACCTGTAAAGAAACTGTAATAAATCTGCAGCTGGGACAGAAAAAAGCAGTAAAAATAATTATAAATCACAATAATACAGTAATTTATCGTTTATAAAATAGATTTTCTAGCCTTCATTCTACATGAGATGTATTTTTGCCTTTTTAATTATTAATGAAGGATACTTACACCACATGTGTAAAAACAGTTAAAACACATATATTAGTATATCATTATATTTACACATATATAAAATGATGATAGAAGCTGTGGGAGGTTACTTTGACTTATATCTTCACTGATGGAAACAAATTTCTTGAACTTTTTTATGGAAAGCCTCTGTGGTTGCATAAATCGTTCTCATTTAACAAACAAATCTGTTTAAAATCATAGAATCAAAACATTTTTTGTTAATTGTCACTAATTTTAAATGAATATAATAATAATTTTAATTTAAGGAAATTTAGTGGATTTTTAAATATTTTTTTGAGAATGGATCTCATAGGATGGTGTGTGTATATATGCAGCTAGTTTACATTTAACGTGGACTTTTACTTCACTGATGTTTTCTGTTTTAATCAAAAATATGGAGACATTCTGTCAAATCACAGCTCTTTTTCTTTTGCAGTGTAAGCTCCGTCTATGTCTGTATATTTTGGTATATTTGTGTGCTTGTGTTTCTCAGGGAGGAGAACATCAGCCACCGATGGAAGGACCTACTGCAGCAGCTCCAGGAGCAGAGGGTGCTGCTGGGAAATGTAGTCGAAACTCTCAGCATCCTCAGAGACATCGAGCTCGTGTCCCAGGAACTGAAAGAGCTGCAGGTGAGTTTACAGCAAAACAGCAGGTTTGGTTATCCATGAAAACACTGAGACCAGGTTTAGGTGGCTGATTCTAGTGTCAGCTGCCCTGTTTGTTGATTTTAATCCAAAACCTGCTGCTCAGTTTTAACTCCAGCTGGTGTCATCTCCTGGCGGCTCCTCCTGTAATTTATGCCTTCTTTTCCATTGAAATGTCTTCTTTCTCTGGCATTTCATCTGCTAAATGTGGAACTTGTTTTTTTATGTAAAAATGGAAGAAAATAATAATGTTCTGAAAAATCCCTGAAGCTGTTGAAAACACTGCACGTAGTGAGATTTATATGAAGATCGTCACTGGACAAGGACCATGTTCATGTTATAAATCTCTGAAGCACCATAAATTCATCTCCCTGCTCCAGTCCCAGGCGAGTTCGTCTGATCTGGGCCGGCAGCTGGCCGAGGTGGAGTCTCTCCTGCAGAAACAGGATCTCCTGGAGGCTCAGATCTTCACTCAGGGTGACGCTATCACTGCCATCAGCAGCACAGCGCTCAAGGTACAGAAGGGACGACTGTTCTGAGTTCACTGTTGGGGGAGTTTTCAGAGGGACGCTGTGGCTGATTTCTGTTTGTCTGTCCTTCAGGGGAAAGTCCGAGACGGCCAGCAGATTCAGAGCAGAGTGAGAGCTCTGGACGCTCAGTACAAATCTCTGGTGTCGCTCAGCAGCAGCAGGTTCTCTTCAGTTTTCTCTGTTAAACGGCAGATCTAACAGCAGATACAGATGTGTTGTTCCTTACACTTCCATCCGTCCGTCTGTCCTTGTCCTCCATCAGGAGGAGGCAGTTGGAGGCTCAGCTCAGACTCTTTGAGTTCTTCTACGACTGTGAGGAGCTGGAGGCCTGGCTCTACGAACGCTGGCTGAGGCTGCAGACGGCCGGACTGGGACGGGACCTCAACCACATCCAGCTGGCTCAGCACAAGCACAAGGTGAGTCTTGGAGTTTCACTCTGTTGATCTGAGACCTTAAAGATTTCTGTTATTCTGATCTATAGATGTAAGAAGTGCAGCAAGTAAAGACCACCAGCTAGAGAACAATACAGGAGTCAAACTTCAAAGAGCTTCACAGATTTTCATCATGTTTATTTCACCTCATGAAGGCACCCAGTGTCTCATATGAGGAAACTTCACAGGACGTCTCGACTCTCTGACCTCCAAAACCTGTTTGGTTTAAAAAGCTAAAATGACACCATTTATCAGCAAGAAACTGAAAACTGAAAGAAAAGCTGAATTTCCAACTTGGCGTACAGTTTGTCAGGAAGAACAACAGCATTTAAACTTCAATCACTTCATTTTCCATGTGTCTTTTAAAAATATTACAAAAATAAACCATTAGTTCTGATCAGATGATGTTAAATACTGAAGAAAAGGAGCTCCTCAGTACAACTAGGAGTTGTCAGGTGAACTGCAGGCAGTGTTTCCACGGAGCAGAGGAGACGACAAGAGACTGAGAGGAAAATGGAACGTATAAATAGAATATATGTAGAATGAAGGACCTGAAGGATCAAGGATATTAAACAGATTTGAAGGCTTGTGTTCCAACATTTATGTTTGATGTGTGACAGAATCCGGACACTTGGAGGTGACTGTAGACAAATCGGATAATAAAGTAATCTGATTACCTCCCGTCAGGTGCTGGAAGCGGAGCTCCAGGCCCAGGAGTCTCTGTACCAGGGGATCCTGGGTCGGGGTCAGGAGCTACTGTCCAAGCAGAGTCAGGAGAACCAGCGAGCCGTCCAGAAGTGGACCAGAACCCTGAAAAAGCAGTGGAGCCACCTGACCGAGGAGGCAACGTCACGCCGCAACCGGCTGCAGGCTGCCGCCACCATTAAACAGGTGAGACACGGGAGGAAGGAAGTACCGGACTTAATAAAATACCAAGCCCAGGGTCCAGTTCAGTTAGCAGCAGGCAGCATCGCTGATACGCTGTAGACACGCTGCTGTTTCAGAAGCAGAAAACTGTAGAGATAGTCTTATCACTCTGTGGCTTCAGGTTTCCAGTTGTCATGTCTAGATTATGTTTAGAGGTTTTCCCTCCTTAAACACCATTTATGTTTTCACAGTCAGCATTTCACATCACGTGATGGTCTCCCGTGTGTGTGTTTAACCCTCCAGTCGGTGTCTCGGTCTCGTTCTCCTGCTGTCTCAGGTCACAGCTGGTTTTTGATCTTCAGTCCATCGACTTGTTAACCAGCTGCTTCTCCTCTCACCAGTACTTTGCAGATGTCGCCGAGGCGAGCTCCTGGCTGGGCGACAGGAAGCCGCTGCTGACCAGCGAGGATTACGGGAAGGACGACTCGAGCACGGGGCTGCTGCTGCAGCGCCACCTGAGGCTGGAGAAGGAACTGCTGGCTTACGCCTCAGAGATAAAGAGACTGTCGGAGCATGCAAAGAGCGCAGCACAGATGACGGCTCTGACTGTGAGTCCAGACACGCTGACCTGGCTTCTGTTCGTCATAAATATTACCAGACGGGTTCATTACACAGAAATAAACACATAATAAAATAAAATCAAATTTAAAAAATATAAAATAAAATAAATGCACGCTGATGTCTGGTCGTACCTTTTCGACACATCACTGAACACACCAGAAACAGTCCACTCGTCTACTTTTCCAGTGTGTACACCCTCGATTCCTCTCCTCACGTCTTAGTTCCTCCGACTGGAGATCTGAGTGGAGGAGTCCAGGAAACAGGTACCAAAACCTCAACGTCAGTTAACTACGTTGCAGCCGTGTTCTCTGTCCTGTGTCGTAGTGCTACTTTCTGCTGCATTTAATGATCTCTGTCAGAAGAAGAGAACCGTACTCATGGTCACTTGTCGTATGTGTTGCTAATAATGTACAGATGTTGTGTTTTAACACTTTAAGTGTGAACGAGTCACAGCTAGCAAGATAAGACTTTACAAATAAAGACTGATGTATTATCATGTGATGCGTCTTCTAAACACACATTGTTGGTGCAGGTTCTCATCGTAGTTTCTATATTCCAGCCATGTCACGGTTGCAGAAATAGGATCCACCTGTGTGTATTTGCTGTGAGCTTCACCTGCAGCCTCCTCGATCCTCCAGCTGCATTCAGGAGTTGATGAAGCACCGAGACTGATTTCAGTTCACAGCTGGAGCATTTAGGAGACGAGGAGGCTGGAACGAGCCTCCCGACTGTGACCGTAGAGCTGAAGAGATGTTTCTACTCCTGTGCAGGCGGAGCCTCAGCAGACCAAGATGATCCAGTACAGTGACTCCTCCAGCGACGAGGGGGAGGGGCCAGCAGCAACGACCTCATCACCCAGAGGCCGGGGTGGGAGAGGCTTTGTGAGCTCCGCCCCTCAGAGCGAGCCGAGCAGAGCCAAGGTCCGCTTCAGATACAGCAGAGGTAACGGATGAAAGAGAAGCTATGACGGAAATCATCCCGACATTACAGCGTGTTGATGTTTTCACGCGTCTCCAACAAGGAAGGGATGCTTAAAAAAAGCTGCTGCCGGATCCAGACGTCATTTAGAAGCAGCAGCTTTCACTGCAAACTGAAACTGTTCTGAATTCTAGGGAATTAGTAGATTTTATTTATTTTATATTACACCTTCAGATACATTCTGTTCTGTCTGCTCTTTCTGTTTGATGCCACATTTCATGCTCTGCAACAAGCATTTTTGAAAATGTTAAAGTTGTCGCTGGTAGAAGAGGGTTTTTCTCTAATAGCTAATGCCTATAATTAGATGTGTAGTGAACCCCAGACAGGAATAAAACACAGACCAGGCAGCGGAAGTTTCTGTCCATTGGTTTGAACTAAATGCAGAAACGGCGACGACGTCTTTGACATCAGTTAGTTTGGCATCGACTGATTCTGTCTGTCATCAGTTTGTTTCTTTCTAGTCTTTCTGTGCTTCTTTCTAGTTTTTTGTGTCTTTATTGCTGTTTTTTGGCTCTCAGTGTGTGTTTCGAGTGATTTTGTGTGTCTTCGTGGTTGCTTGTCTCTGCGTTGGTTTTGCATCTTTTTCATCTTCATTTTGTATTTGAGTCAGTTTTAATCGCTTTAATGTGCCTCTGTGGTTATTATGCATCTAGTAGTGATCTGCTTTTGTGTCTCAGAGGTGATATTTTTTCTCTGTTTACATCAAATCAGCATCTGTTTGTGTTTAACATCTCTCCGTGATCTCTTTCTGGTCTTTTTGCGTCTCTTAGTCGCTGTTTTGTGTCTCTTTTGTCACTCTGACATGACACTCAATGGTTGATGTTCACAGGAGGTGAACGGGGGAATACAGAGACTAAACGTGCTTAAAATGGAAAATCATGAATTCGATTTCAGGCCAGTTCCTGTGGGATCGAAATGAGATCGTGACGATCGTCGGCACTGGGCCGGACGAAGACAAAGTTCTCGCTAAAGACAGTCGAGGAAACCAGCAGGTCGTCCCCAAAACCTACCTGACCCTGCTGCCGTCCGCGGTACGATCAGTAACCGTGAACTTTTAAATCAAATCAGCAATTTATAACTTTGAAATCAGCTCTCTAACCTGACCTGTGTGTAACAATCAGTCTGAATGTGGTATTAAAAACTAAAGATATCTGAATCTTTATCAGGCTGTGCAGTTTAAAGCACTTTTATTTATATTCATCTCATATTAAATGTGCTACATTTGCAAAGTTTTAATTATCAATGATTGGTAATTAGCCTTAAAGCACATAAAATAACGTTTTTTAACTTAAACATCTGTTCCACAGTTTAATGAACAGATTTCATTACTCAAACTTCTTAAAATTTAAATTTCTCCTCTTGAATGCACCTGTTCAGGCTCCGCCCCCGACCCCACCCGCCTCCACCAATGGCGTGCCAGCAAGCCCGACCAGGAAGCTGAGTCGTCCGAGGCGAAGCCGCTCGATGCGTCGCGGCACGGCGGAGATCCAAACAACGTGGCTGCCGGACGCCCAGTACCAGAGAGACACTGTGGAGAGCACACAGGCCAGTCTGGATCAGGACTACAACTCCCTGTACAACCTGGTGAAGGTGAGAGAGGGGCAGTGTGGGAAATGTAGTCCCTCAGTGCAGCAGGACGGTGGAGATCATACTTAAGAGCAGCTTGTCTCCTGACATCAGAACTGTTGGTTTTCAGTCGAAGACGCGGATTCTGGAGGAGACGCTGCGTCTGCATCGATTTTACAACAGCTGCCAGGAGTTCGAGTCCTGGATGGAGGACAAGGAGAACATCCTGAACACCTTCAGCACCGACGGAGACAATCTGGGAGTGGTTCAGGCCAAGTATGAGGTGAAGAGTCACCCAGTGTGATAGAGACAAAAAGTTAAAAAAACATTCTGGGAAGTCAGCTCTGTGTGCTTCAAGAGCCTTTATTCTAACCTTCAGTGGGTTGTGAAATATATATTTATATTTATTTTATTTGTTTATTGAATTTTTCAGAGGTCGAGTTCCGAATCACCTAGACACAGATTAATGGTTTTTACAGAGAAATGTGTCTTTAAACTTTGGATTCAGCCAGTGTTGACTCGGTGTTTCAGAACTTCCTGACTGAGTTGGTGAGTGGGCGGGGTCAATTGGATGACATCATCAAAATGGCAGAGGAGATGGTGAGGAGTCGGCACAGTAAGCAGAAGGAGATCCAGGCCAGGCAGAGGAGCGTCTCCAAGAGGTGATTCAACAGCAACGCGACTGTGCAGCACCTGGTCATCTGTTGAATACAGAACAGCATCACACCAGATGTTCTCACATCATGCCAAACATACCAGAATCATTTCATATAAAATCAGTCATGCCAAACCTCTTTAGAATCAGCTGATTCTTTATCTCCAGCATACACATATAGGACTGACTCAGTGTTGTGACGGTTTTAGTTTGTGAGTGAACAGAATCTCAATGACTGAGTTAGAAAATAGCTATCTGACAGTGAATCCTGTCAACAGATGGTCCTGGTATCTTCTGGAAGTAAAACGGTCCTTCCATTGTCTAGAACTTGTTCTGACCAACCACCATCACACATGAGACTGGAAAGTTTACCCAGAATTCACTTTTTAAAGTTTTCTCTGATGAATTATTTGAAGACAAGACAAGGTTCTTTGGTCAAATGAGACCAAAATGGAGCTTTTTGTCTGTTAGACTAGATGCTAGATCAGCTAATAAAATATTCATAGTATGAAGGTAAACGTTTGCAAGGCTTCATTAAATAAACTAAAATTACTGTAGATAAAGAATCAGCTGATTCTGAGGAGGACTGACTGATTGATGAAGCTCTTCTGCAGCTCATGTGATTCTGGTTCTTTGTGTCCTCCAGGTGGGATCGAATCCAGCAGCTGAAGGATGAAAAAGGCCACGAGCTGCTGAGCACGGCAGACGTTCAGTCGTTCCTGCACAGCTGCGAGGAGGCTAAAGCTCAGCTTCAGTCTCAGCTGTCGCAGCTGGATGACGTGAACATCGACTGCAGCTCCTTCACGCTGCTGAACGAGGAGAAGAACCAGACTCAGGCCCTCAGAGACATCCAGAACCTGGAGGCGAAGATCGCCTATCTGAAGAGCGTCGCCAAGATGTACGGCTCTGATTCACTCTGTGGGACTGAAGCAGGGTTCAGAGTAGACGGACAAACTGTTACTCGGAGTAGTCCTACTAAAACCAGTTTACTAGAATAATAATAATAATAATAATAATAATCCTGAACAGTACAGACAGGTTGAACTGAGTACACCTACATTTTATAGAAAAATTCAAGCTGATTCTGTAAAACAGCAGAAAAAGACACAAGACAGTCCGTCAATGTGTAAAAGTCAGTCGCTGTGTTTCCATATAAGTGAATTTGAAGCACACGTGTGAAATGTTGCTGCTTGTTTATTTTTTTACTTCAGTATTAAGAAGCTCTGAATATTTTAGGTGCCTGTTTGCTGCCTTGTTAGAAACATTTTAACGTCAAAGACAGATCCACTGACTTTTCAGATTGAACTTTTTTCTGGTTCGTCAGCTGAAGCTGAGGTCATGTTTCCTTCAAGAAGCTGCGGTTTGAGTCGACCTCAGCATCCCTGATGTGGTTGTGTGTGTTGCAGGAAGCAGGACTGCAGCCCAGCAGAGAGTGCCGCCATCATGGAGGAGGTTCGAGGTTTGGAGGCTCTGCTGAAGCAGGTGAGGATCCACAATAGTTTAGACTTTACACAGTGTTCCTACTGCGCTGCAGCAATTATTCAGTTAACTGTTACCTCAGTCTACAGATGCTTTGATAGTTGATTCATTGGTTTGAGCAACTTTTTATTAAAAACAGTCTAAATTCTCAGACTGCAGCTCCTTCAGTGTGAATATTTTCTGGTTTCTTTCCTCCCCTGTGACAGTAAACTGATATCTTTGGACAAAAAAGACACTTGAGGATACACTGTCATTTTTCACCACATTTTAGACTCTAACTACGAACATATTAATCAAGAAAATTATCTCCAGTGAAAGTAATCATTAGTTTCAGCCTCAGGTCTAACGGTGTCGACTGGTTCGATTGTGAAATGGATATAAAGCTTTGTTCTGTGTGGAGTGCAAGTGAAGTAATGATTAGTTTTTCTCAGGTGAAGCGCCAGGCTGCAAGCAGACAGCGCCACCTGGAGGACGCCCGCAGGCTTCAGAGCTTCCAGCTGCAGGCCAAGGAGCTGCAGCGCTGGGCGGGTTCGGTCCAGGAGCGCCTCCTGCAGGAGGAGTCGGCCGGAGACGTGGCCTCGGCGGTGGCTCTGCTGGAGCAGCACCAGGAGCTCCGAGTGGAGATGGAGGCACAGAGAAGCAGGTGGAGCTGACAACATTAGGCCATCTTCCCCGTGTGGTAGTCGAGAAGTTTGTCAGGTTTAGACATCTGGGACAAGTCTTGTCATTTTGAAAATTTTTGAGTCATTTTGGACTTTTGTTTTGTCAGGTTTAAAGTCACTTTGGAGAAATTTGAAATAGTTTTTGGCCGTTTTTGGTCTCTGAACAATTTCTGAGTTATTATATTTAAGTCATTCTGTATAATTTTTAAATTATTTTGGACAGTTTTTATGTCTCATGCATAAAGGCTTCATCTTAAATTTTAAATCTATTTAAAATAAAACAGAAGCTTCTCTTTAAAAGTTATATGGCAAATCAAATCACTACCTTTCAGAAAATCATTCCTGATTAAGAAGCTGTGAAGCTGATCGGGGGATTAAACAGATCGTTATTTAAATAGATTTTATTTAGCATCAGCTTCTTCTTGTTGACTCACAGTGTAATGACTGTTCATCACCTCTCAGGCTGAAGGAGATGGAGAAGTTGGGGAAATCCCTCCAGCAGGGCTCCACGGGTGGCGTCGACATCCAGCAAACTGTGGACGAACTTGGCGCCGTTTGGTCCGAGCTGGACGGGCTGTGGGCCAATAAAAAGCAGCGTTTGGAGCAGGGGGTGGAGCTACAGAGGCTGAACCAGGAGGGAGACCGGATCGAGGCGGCGCTGTCTGGACACGAAGCCCGACTCAGGGTCCAAGACGTCGGGGTGAGCAAACTCAGCATCTGAAGCTCAAATTTTACAGTAAACTGTGAATCTAAACGGAGATGCTGATCAGATGTTGGTGCTGATCGCTGCAGGACTCGGTGGATGGCGTTCACAGCCTGCTGGGCCGCCAGGAGGAGCTGGAAGGCCTCCTGAAGGCTCTGGACCAGCGGGTGGAGAAATTCAGCGAGCGCAGCAAAGAGCTGATCGACCAGCAACACTACGCCGCAAAACAGTAAGAAACACGGCAGAGGGCATCGTTTAGGAGCTCAGAGGGCTGTTTGGGTCCTTTTAAAATCCACAGATGTTGTTCAAACTGACCATCAAGGCTTTCTGCCCTCTCACTAGACGGAAAGATGCACAATTTAAATAATATCACGTCCCTGATTTCTATTTTGTTCATAATTTACCAGTTTTATTCAAATGCGATCGTCTGTATTATTTTGCAAACTTAAGGGGTGTGATGACATTTTATGTGCTTTTCCTTAATAAAGAGGATGTAAGGAGGCATTTAGAAGCTGTGGAACTTGAAGAAATTGTTTTAAAGTGTTTTCTTCAAACACATGAAATTAATTGAAAACAAATGGTTTGTGTACGGTATTAATTTTTACTTTTGGACTGTTAGAAAGTTTTTAAAAGCCTTTTTGTGGCAAATGATGATGGCAAATGTTGTTTTTCAACCCCTGTCCAACCGTATAAACAGCATTGACACCTGTGAAACAAAGTCGTTGTTCTTGGTTCTAAACACCAGATAAAGTCTGCTGATTAAGTTTAATGTACAAACATCAAACTCTAAATTTCCCTCGCTGCCATTTTATTCCCGTTTCTGCATTTTAATTTTTCTCTTTGGAGCGTTTTGAGGCTGCAGACATCCCTGTTCTTGTGTATGGTTGCCGTGGTGACAGGCGTTTTTCTGGTCTTCCAGCATCAAGGAGCGAAGCATCAGCATCCAGAAGGCCAACAAGAGGCTGAAGGAAAGCAGCCGACAGAGGAGGAGCCTCCTGCTGGCCTCCAAGAAATACCAGGTATCATCATCATCAGCATCATCGTCACCATCAAGCACAGACTGCTAACTTCACCACTCTGAGAAGGTTCAGCAATGAGAAACTGATTAACCCCAAGGAAGCGCAGCCAATTAATATTTAGCATGCTGATGAGGCTCATTTATACTGCGGACATGTTTTATTCCCCATGAGAGCCAGCATGTGAACTCTACAGCAGAGGAGGCTGCAGCTTCAGGACTGTAGTTGTAGGATCCTTGTCTGATCCAGGACTTACAGTTTTAAAGGTTTATTCCATCTAAATAGAACCTCCTAACAAACACATTATGGTTTAAAGGCTTGTTCCACTCAAAGTATATCTTTCTGTTCAAGTACTTGCAGTTTAAAAGGTTTGTTACATCCAAATAATTTCTAACAAGTTGTGGGTTTAAAGGTAAATTCCACATAAAACCGTACGTACTTCTGTTTTTTGTCTGGGGGCTGAAAAAGTTGCTCCACTTTGTGGTAACCCAGTGGTCGCCGTGATATCTGGCCACAACTCAGGTGAGGGTTTTGGAAGTCCAGCCTCGCAACAGAAGCTTGATTATATCAGGTACTGGGCGTGTGGACTGTTCAAGAATGGGATTCGTATTGTATAAGAGCTCTGTCCAGCAGCCTTTAACTGTCGCAGAAATCTGTCATGGTCCCACAATGCTCTCAGCTTGTCTGTAGTCTGAGTGACACCTCCTCTGGTCGCTACCATTGGTTAAATCATTAAATCTAATAAATTGATTAGCTGATAGCCATTCACATCCATATTTAGCATCATTACAGAACATAGTATCTGCAGGAAAACAACCAAACTAATCTTACATTTATTTCAGTCATCATGATAAGAATCATTTTCTGTTTTCTTCTGCTGCAGGAGTTCCAGAGAGACGCGGACGAGCTGCTGTTGTGGATGGAGGAGAAGTTTAAGGTGGCTGAAGACGAGTCGTACCGCGACCCCACCAACATCCTCAGGAAGCTGAAGAGACACGAGGCAGCCGAGAAGGAGATGCAGGCCAACCAGGTGTGGCTGGACCGACTCGTTCAGGTAAACTGACGCCCACTAGTTCCAGTTTAAAGAAACACCTCTGACAGCTGGTTCTCTGAGAGTTCATGTGAAACGTGTTGTGTGATCAGCTGGGACAGGAGATGGTTGCTGAGGAGCACCACAACAGCCAGAGCATCAGCAGAAAGTCTTCTCTGCTCAGCAGCCGCTGGAGGAGGCTGCAGGACAAGATGGCCGACAGAGGGGATAAACTGAGGCAGGCGGGACAACAGGAGCAGCTGATGGAGCTGCTGCAGGTAAATTACTGAGGGAGTTGGATTTCTGTCCAGGTGTAGCACAAGTTTGAAGAATTTGAATCACAGGACCAGTGAGTTAGCAGATTAAATGTAGGTGCTTTCATTTGTATTTACAGTATACAACCAAACAACAGAACGTCCCTTGAAAGTTAAATGATTCTTAACCTAATCCCCTTCCAATATTTGCATTGTTTCGAAGTTGAACAGTAAAATATTTCCTCCAGTGACCAATCAAAAACAAACTATTTACGAAGACTATATCGAAAATTCACGGCAGCAAAAGTGAACATCCCAACCTTCTCAGTTCTGTATGTATGGACTGTGTCTATCTATGTCTGCATCATGGCTCCACATGGAGAAGACCTGAACAGAGGAGAAGAAACATCTGACTGAGAGACTGGAAAAAGATGGAAAAGGATCCAAGAACTAAAACCCAGTGCAGCCCAGTGTGAGCAGTAACCAGGAGGTCCAGAAGGAGCCATAGTAGCACTGATCAGGGCTGCAGTGGTCGTCCTCCTACAATGACTCCACGGACAGTCAACTACTGTCACTATGGAGCTGTGAACACCAGACAAAGGCAGCTGCTTCAGACTTGGCACAGGGCTTATCAGTGGAGACCAGAGTTAGTGTGAAGCTCAGACAGTGTGAAGGACAGTTTTAACAACAACTAAAGCTCCTTGCTTGCTCTTTAGCTCAGAACATCCACATCAAACTTTACTAAAAACATGAACAGAAGCCTGATGGATGCTGGAGAACATTCTCTGGTCAGATGAAGATAAATGTGTTGGGCTCAGATGGAGTCCAGATGTTTGGTGTGAACCTGACCAGGACCACCACAGTGGATGCATGGTCCTGACAGTGAAGCACGGAGGTGGCAGCATCATGATATGGGGCTGCATGAGGGCAGAAGGTGTTGATGACATTTATAGGTCAGGTTTCTTGCCAGCGTTATAACAGAGTAACGGCCTGTTACGCTACTGCCTGAAAAGGTTAGGCTGCAAATTGAGCCATTACGTTGTTTTTGAGGGTACGTAGCGGGAAAATATTTAACAAGCGTCGATGCAGTTTCTCTGCCGTGGTCTTTGCTGCTCATGCTGCTATTCACGAGCAGCAAAGACGCTAACGTCTTCGACTGCTAACCGTTAGCAGCATTCGCTAAGACCCCCGCCAACCCATTATGATGTCAAAAAATCCTGGAGAGGACCCTGTAGGTGCAGCTTGAATGTGTGAGGATAAACCAGAATACTGGCTGACCAGATGCCTCCCAGTCTGCAGAAGCAAGAAAAGCTGTTCTTGTCTCCTCAGGACGCCAAGCTGAAGATCGAGGCCATCCAGTGGATGCTGAACAACGCCACCAAAGGTCACGACCTGCGCTCTAGCCGACAGCTGCTGAAGGTGAGGCTGACGCTGATGCAGTGTTGTGTCTTCGTATCGATCAGTCAGTCATAAATGATGTGTTTGTGTTTGCAGGAGCACCAGCAGCTGGAGCAGGAGGCCAAGGAGCTGGCGGAGAAGATCAACTCCATCGTCAGCAGAGCTCAACACCTGGCCTCCAACCACTTCGACTCCCACCGGATCCTCCAGGAGACGGACACTTACCTCACTCTGTAAGTTGGCCTGCAGCGACGGGGGTTTAGCTCATCAGGCTGCAACTGTCTCTGATGTTAAATCCTGGCTTCAAGTGGTGCTGCATCTGTTGAAGCATCTTTAACCGTCACACTGAGAGCAACTTATCGCCTCAGGTGATAAAGCTGATTGTTGCTGAGTAAGTTTGTTGGATTTTTAAAAAGCTGTAAATTAGTTTTTGCTTATTTAACCTCCGAAGAACTCCACAGTGGTTAAATGTGCAACCACAAACAATCTTAAAGCAGGAATTTCAGAGAGTTCAGGTTCTCTACACTTTGAATTATTCCTCAGAATGATAAAATATTAAATAAACATCAAGGAAAGTAGAAAATACTTACCTTACATTGCTCATCTTACAACCCATAGTTAAAAGTATTAATTTTTGGAACTAAATCTTCCTTCTGCTTCTTTTTCTGCTTGGTTTCGTGTCATTTTGCAGCTCGTTGTGGTTTTTTGTGTTTCTTTGGGATCACTTCATCTCTCTTTGTTATTTAAACAAAAAAATATTTCCATCCAAAGACTCCAGCCGTTTAATCATACGACTACAAGTTTGCATCGCCTTAAAACATGATTGTATTTCTTGTTTGTTTTCCTTCGTTCTTTGTCTGGTGAAGCTGTGAGAAGGTGTAGATGATATTCAGTGTGGTGTTAAAAGTCTGAAAGCTGTGCACGTTGATGGTGTTGACTCACTGATCTCTGTGCTGTAGGTTCAAGTCCCTGCAGAAACCTCTGGACCAGCGCCGGGCTCAGCTGGAGGCGTCGGTGAAGCTGTTTGAGTTTTATCACGATGTGGATCTGGAGCTCAGCTGGATCTCTGAACGGGTTCCTGCCTCCGTGTCGACGGGATACGACAAGTCTCTGGCCGGAGCCACCAGCCTGATGCAGAAACACAAGGTACCTCCTGGGTTTCAGATATTTACCATCTGAGGAAGCTCAACTTCTGCAGTGTTTGTTCTCCAAAGCAGTGATGGTCTGTGGCATCTGTCTTCACATTTATAAATCAGAGCTGTGCTTCTTTAGGAGCTGCAGGCTGAAGTCAACGGCCACCGAAAGCGCCTGAACCACGTCCTGGACAAAGGACAGCGCCGGGCCAAATCCAGCAAATCAGACGCAGAAGAACTGCTCAAGAGGTGCCGGCGGTTGTTTTTGAAAGTTTCCTTTGCATGTTATGAGAAGGATGCATTCGTCTTCACTGAATGAACAAGAACAATGATTCTACAAATTAAGATTAGTTTTAATGCAACGCTGTCTCGGTCAGCATCTTTACACAGCAGGAACTTTAAGCAGGTGCAACTTACAGGAACGTAATCTGTCCTTTTAAACTTTCTGTTTCCATTATGGCTTCAACCCCGATTTTAACTTTGAGTGCACCACAGCAACAGCAAATAGCAGCTACAGGAAACAGAACAGTGGAGGGTTGTTTTGTTGGCCAGTTTACAGAATATTACTTTGGTGGTGATGTTTGAGGAGAAGAAGCTGCTGGAGGAGTTCAAGAGGACATAAAACATGCCGTTTGTTGTTGTGCTCTCTGAGTTTAACCAATCAGCGTCGAGACCCACACAGCAGCTTTTCAGGGTCACTCAGAAATACCTGCTGTGGAGGTTCTTCTCCCCTAGCAGAGGTTCTACAGGGTTGGTTCCTGTGTTTGAACAAAGGTTCTCGTCGCCCTGACAGTTCCTGCCTGTGGTGATCAAATGAGCAGCTGTTGTATTTCAGTTTTGTGTGACTGTCTATATTTGTGCTGTTGTTGTAGGTGCAGCCACCTGCGTGCAGAGTGGGAGGAGCTTGAGGAGGCCTGCAGCAGGAGAGCAGCTCACCTGAGCAAAGCCATCACCAGGGAACAGGTGAGACCCGCCATGACATTTAGAAGAGAAGTTGAAGGCACTGAATGCTGAAGCTACTTCACTGGCTGGGTAGTTGTTTTATCTGTGGTGGTTTTGTGTCACTTTGTGTTGTTGGTTTGTCTCTTTGTGTGAGTTTTGTTGTGTTTTTGTTTTTTGAGTGTCTGTGTAGTTTTGTGTCTCTGTGGTGGTTTTGTGTCTTCTGTCTCTTTGTGCTGGTTTCTAGTCCTGTTGTGGCTTTTATAACTTTATTGGATTTATTGAGTTTCTTCGTTGTTGTCTTCTGTCTCTTTGTGTTGGTTTTCCATCTCTTTATTATAATAATAATAATAATAATAATACATACATACATACATACATACATACATACATACATTGCGCTTTTCAAGACACTCACTTTACAGCGTAGATATCCTTTAGAGTGTTTTTGTGTATTTGGTGGTTTTGTGTCTGTTTATAGTTGTTTTGAGTGTATTTGTTGTCATTTTGTGTCTCTTTGTTGTGTTCTCGTAGTTTAATGGTATCAGCTGGATGAGCTTGAGTTCCTTGAAGACGTTCCACCTCTCATCCAAGAGGCTTCATTAGTTCTGACTGACTATTTGGGAGTTCCACATACTGATATTCTGAAGGATGAGAGGTGAAATATCTTCAAGAAACTCAAGCAAGTCCAGCTGATACCATTAAAGTATGAGAATTACCATGACCTGGAAGACTGAGAATCTTCACAGACATCTATTTGTTGTGGTTTTTGTTTGTCCCAGTTGTTTTTTGTCTTAAATAATGTTCTCTGAATGCGACCTGTGTGCAGCTGCTGTTGGACTGTTCAGAGCTGGAGTCCAGACTCACCGAGATGCTCAGTCTGGTGAACACCGACGACTACGGCAAAGACCATCTGGCCACACAGAGCCTCATCACCAAACACCAGGTAGGACGTGCTAACTAACCCGCACAGGGCTTCCGATCGGTCCCTGAGGAACTCCTCGGTCAATAAACGGTGCTCTGGTGGCTCTGCAGGTGCTGGAAGGCCAGCTGGAGGTGCTGGAGGTGGAGGTGGAGGAGTTAGGAGACCAGGTGGATCAGGCTCTACAGAACTGGAGGCTGGAGGAGCTCAGCAGACCCTACAGCCGAGTGAGCAGCCTCCACCAGCAGCTGCAGCACCAGGCTGCCCTCAGGTAGACACCCAACAAGCCCAGAACAGCAGCACAGAACTGGACCGTCAGGAAGAAGTCCAGTTACCAGGCTGGTTGTTCAACTCAGCTGCTTGTTTTTAACTCGCTTCATAAAGGACACACAGATACATCGATGTTTGAATGCGGTGCAGCTCCTGCTTTTACACTTGACTTGAATAATTATTACATTTTCAGTCTCTTTGTGGTTTGATTATCCTTGAATCGTTGTGTCTCTATCTTTGGTCACTTTGAGTGTCTCTGTGGTGGTTTTAGATCTTTTTTTATGTGTCTCTCTGATTGTTTTGTGGATCTTTGTGGTTTGAATCTCCTTGTTGTCATGTTTGCGTCTCTTGGCGGTGGTTTTGCTCCTTTTTATGGTATTTCTGTGTCTCTGTCATTGTTTTGCCTACATTTTCTGCAGTTTTGTGTCTTTTCAGTTTGGTTTTGCATCTCTTTCTGGTATGTTTTTGGATAGATATGTCTTTTGTGCTTCTTTTTATGGTATTTTTTAGTCTCTAGGTCAGTGTTTTCAGTATCTTTGTGGTTGTTAGAAGCTTTTTGTCCTGGTTTTGTGTCTCTTTGTAGTGTTTTTGCATGTCTTGTTTATACTTTTGTCTGTTTTGTTGTATTTTAGCTTCTCCTTACGACTTTCTAAAAAGGAATCACATTTATAATCGATTTAATCATATTACTGCAAGTCATCTTTACATAAAACACAGAAAGCATGTGACGTCAGAGCTAGTTGGGTTCAGAGAGACAGCTGTTGGGTCAATCAAGTTATTTCCCACCTGAGTGTCCACGTGTCTCCTGTCAGGGGTCAGAAACTGAACGAAGTCCTTCATCTCCACGAGTTCAGACGAGAAGCTTCAGAGCTTGAGGACTGGATGATCCAGCAGCGACAGACGGCAGAGTCTCAGGACCTGGGCAACGACTACCAGCATGTTCAGGTTACGTCTCACCACTCTGACTGTAAACAGTGACTGAAAGACAGCTGATGGTTCACGCTGTAGCTGTAATTTAACATCAGTCTTAAACTGTGTGTTCTCTGTGCAGCTGCTTCGTGGGAAGTTTGAAGGTTTCCTGAAGCAGCTCGAGGTTGGAGAGGACCGACTGCAGAGCTGCAGCGACTCTGCTGCTCGACTGATCCGCGACAAACACCCGCAGAGCTCCGCAGTAAAAGACACACTGCAGCAGCTCCGGTAAGCTGAGAAACTACCGCTTCATAAGAAACCTCATTCGTCTGTGTTTGTGCTGATGTCTGTGTGTCTGCAGGTCAAGCTGGGAGGATCTGAAAGTCGTGGCGAAGGAGCGTCAGGATCAGCTGCAGACGGCTGAGGAGTGTCATCGCTTCTACCGAGACCTGAGCGATGCGCTGACACTCATCCAGGTATGTGTGCACGCCAGGACACAAATATGAGGCCGTTTCTTTAACTTTTATTCAGCCACAATCAACAACTGATTAACGGTAAAAATTAATGAAACATGGTGGGGGAGCTGCTTTCTCAAGCGAGGGAGTTTAAGTACACTACTCACAATAAGTTAGGGATATTGTTATTTACATGAGTGCTTTTCCTATTTGGTCTGAATTTTAATGAAATAAGTAAAAGTTCCCTTTGATATTACTAATAATGAATGAGAAGAAACACCATTTTCATTAGTTTAATATTTATTACCCCCAAAATGTAAACAATAACAAGGATAGCCCCAAATAACAAAAAATGACAATGTCAGTAGCGGGTGTTTCCACCATTTGCCGCAATGACAGCTTGACAACGACGTCTCATGCTCCTCACGAGCCTCATGATGTTCTGAGGCAATACGTTCCACTCTTCCACAAGTGCTACACACAGTTGCCAGGTCACGTGGGGGTGGAGTAC